ATTAATCACATCCAAAATAAAGGTTTTTGTTTACATAATATATGTTTGTACTGTGTTTATTTATTAGGTATATATACATACACACATACAGTATATATTTTGAAACTATTTATATGTATATACATTTAGATATTTATATTATTATATTTTATATTATATATAAATATATTTACTATATGAACATGACATATTTTGTATTTATATATACATAATATACACAGTGCACACTCATATATTATGTAAATAAATATTATATGAGCTGTTTTATTTTCTTTGCATTTTATAGGAGGTTTGCAGATTTTCCCAACATTTAGGGGGCAGTAATATTAAATCCATATCCATATATATATATATATATATATATATAATTATATAACGGTTCATTCTGGTTCTCAAATCTGATTGGTTGAGAACCGTGCAATATTGTACTGGTATCGCTACAGGAACGCCCTTTCACAATTTTGTATCACTCCGCTTGTTCTAGCCGGGTCTATGAGCTAATCGTAGAGTACGTTAGTTAATATAAGAAGAAACGTCTAGCTTCGCGGTCTCTCTCTCTCTCTCTTTTGGATGTACGTCTTGCCACATTGTTTCTCTCTTATAACCTCATTATTTCTCACTAATAACCTAACTGAAGCAGCACATGCCCTTGATACGAATTCTAAAAGTGACGTATGTTTAACTGTCAACTTGAGCTTTGAATCCGTGGCGGAAGGAAGTAGTTCCGCACAAAAGAAGGTTTTATTAGGCACTCCGTTGTTTCTTGTTTAATTGCACACGTTCCGTCAAACTGTTATATAAATGCAATATCACTCTCGTACTCGAGCGATACTGGCTCTATATCAGCGGCTGTGATTGCCTCTGGTACTTGGCCTTGTGCCTCTGGCCTAATCACAGCCATTCTGATATAGAGCCGGTATCGCTCTCGTACTCGAGTGATATTGCTCATATATTAGTTTTACTTTTGTACTTTTGTTGCCGAACATTAGAATGGCCTATTAGATTCAATTATTTTCTTGTTCTGCTGTAAAAATGGTCTTAATGTTCCTTTTTGGATGGTTTTTCATTGAATGCTTTAAATAGTTGGACACAGTTTAGAAGGTCAAAACCTCTGATGTTACACAAGCCCAAATGTGTACAAACATTTAATGCGTTTAAGCTCAAGTGTGTTATGTTCTCCTTAGTAACCTAGATGAAGGTTGCATGGGTCTAATGGCTATTCTAATGTACAGTTGCCAAATAAAATATGTTATACCTCACCAGAGGAGGTCTTGTGCTGTAGGTCACTGCCTTTCTCTATAACTGGCTGTGCTACGAAGAAAGAAATATGACTTTATCTTATCACTTGCTCAGAATCCTTCATTGGATCTCCCTTTGTGACCTCAGAACAATAGATTTAAGTAGTCTCTCTCCCCTTCCCTGTCCCTGGAAGTAATCCATAATTAATAAGGGCAATTTGTTGAGTAATAAGACCCGCTGGAGAAAGTATATGATGCTCAGTTAGCTAGGCATCCTCTTACCCCGGCCGGAAAACGACTGAAATCAAACAAGCCTTGGCAATCATGGCTAGACTATTTTTATAGGGTCATTCAATCAGATCAGATCGATACCCCCGAGGTACATCACAGCGTGACATGCAGTGATACCCTCAACATTAAAAGGTCATTTCCATTTTTAACAAGGTTAGATCTGAGAACACCCTGAGAATAGATATAGCTTAGATCAAGTATTTCTGCAGCATATTTCAGGTTCATATTGTGCATTTGAGCTGTTGTGCTGAATATCAGCACGTCTGTGATTCTTCAATATGGTTTATGATCACTTTTAAAGGAATAGTTCACCCCCAAATTAAAACTTCCTGAAAATGTACTTATACTCAGACCATCCAGATAGATACCAAGATGTAGTTGAGTTTGTTTCTTCATCGGAACAGATTTGGAGAAATTTAGCATCACATCACTCGCTCACCAATGGATGCACTGCAGTGAATGGGTGCCATCAGAATGAGAGTCCAAACAGCTGATAAAAACATCACAATAATCTATAAATAACCCACTCTAAACTAGTCCTGTGAAGTGAAAAACTGCATGTTTGTAAAATCCATCAAGATGTTTTTAACTTCAAACTGTTGATTCCTCTATCCAAATTTTTTTTTCTCAACTACAGTAGTCAACATTTAAAGTGGATCAAAAAAGTTCATCAAAGTTGTCCTAAGACAAGAACGCATTTTGATTTTAAGTTTTAGGACAACTTTTATTAAAAGTTTTGATCCACTTCAAATGTTGACTAGTGTATATTGACAGTCAATATAATCATATGTAGTATGCATGATTACAGTTGGAAAAATCTAACTTTATTACTAAATATAGTATAAATTTATTACACTTTATTTTTGTTCATTTATGTATTTATTTATATTGTTTTAAATTGTTTTTAAAGGGATAGTTCACCCAAAAATGAAAATTTGATGTTTATCTGCTTACCCCCAGGGCATCCAAGATGTAGGTGACTTTGTTTCTTCAGTAGAACACATATGATGATTTTAAGTCCAAATGTTGTAGTCTATCGCTACCGTTGCAGTATAATGCATGGCAATGGTAACAAAATCTATAAGAGTAAAAAAAAAACGCACAGACAAATCCAAATTAAACCCTGCGGCTCGTGACGACACATTGATGTCCTAAGACACAAAACGATCGGTTTGTGCCAGAAACCGAACAGTATTTATATAATTTTTTTACCTCTAATGTCCAACGGTCTTTGGGCGCGCACGGCATCTGGTGCGTGAGGTGTGTACGCGCTCTGGTGTAGTTTTCTCAAGCGCCGGATGTGATCTCTCGCGCGTATACGTCACTCATTGTTTACACAGCGCACAAACA